GATGATGATGATGATGGTGATAATAATAATAATAGTAATAATAATAATAATGATAATAACAATAATAAATGTAATAATAATAGTAATAATAATAATATAGATAATAATAATAGTATTAAAAATGACAATGATATTGATAAAAATAATAAATGTAGATATAATAATAATAATAATGATAATAGTGATAGATATAAAGATGATAATGATAATGATAACAGCAATAACTAATAATAGTAGTAGTAGTAGTAGAAGCAGTGGTAGTAATGATAATGATGAGGATAATGACAATGATGATAATAATAATAGCAATAATAATAATAATGATAATAATAATAACAATGATATTACTACTACTACTATAATAATAATAATAATAATAATAATAATATAATATAATATAATAATAATAATAATAATAATAATAATAATAATAATAATAGCAACAATAATGATAATATTAAAATGATAATAATAATAATAATAATGATGATAATAATAATAATAATAATAATAATAATAATAATGATAATAATAATATCAAACGATAACAATATCAATGGCAATTTTAAAGAGCAATGATAAACAACACAGTCATTAAACAATTTATCTATTTCATAATAACCCAACGATGATGGAAATGCACCCGTTATAGATTATAAAAGATATAAAAGAGTTAAAAATCAGAACACGTTACTTACAAGTTCGTGGGAGAGCACAAGAGCATGGATATCTGATCAACTTTGAAAAAAAAAAATAGAAGGAAAATCATTTTGCACAAATTTCACACAGGCTAACCTTTTTTTGCCGGCCGAGAGAGGGTAGAGGGAGGGGGGAGGGTGTGGGGGGGGGCGTCCTGAGGTTAGTCTGTTCTCTGGTGTGGATAGGAATAATTTCCTAAATGATTTGGTATTCTCAAATCGTTTTTATATCGTGGCATCTTATTTATCAGTCTATTTTATATGTATAATGATGATAATCATAAGAATAATGACAATAATGATAATAATAATAATAATAGAGTCCATTTATAATGAAAGAAGCTAAAACTAATAAAATCCCAAAAGTCGAACAAACCTACTGTGTTTATATATATAATATATGTATCTTTAATTCGTGACGAGCCATGATTATTCCTATCCGGGATCCACTCACACGCTGCGAGTCCTACCAGTGTTCAGCATGTGTTCACCTCCACTTTCCTGGCGGAGGCTTGGCGCGGGTCGCCTTGGTCTCTGGTCCCCTGCGTTGCCAGCGAGCCATTCCGAGCATCGCCGCCTTGCCCGCGAGGCATTTCAGGCGCTCAGGACATCAGCGTGGCATCGGGGTTGGTGTGCGTGCGACGTGACGCGGTGACGGGACGTGAGTGATCCGTCGCGTTGCGTGGGTTTGCGTCCGTCACGTCGTCAATCCATCCCGCGCATTGTCTGAATTACTCAGTGGAGGCGATGATGCTTGGGGCTGACGGGCGCGCAGAGGACCTGGGACTGGGCGGCGCGCGGGAGCCGAGGCCGTCCATCACCCGGACCAATTTTGCGTGTACAAACACTAGGACCTTTGGTCTGGACGCCTGTCACGCCATGCTAGTCGGACCCGGTCCAGACGCACCTCGCGAGTGGTCTGACGGGCCATCGCGCCTTGGTAGGACTTGTTCTCTTCAGAATCACCTTTGCTACCATCTCTTTGTGTTATGGCCTTTTAGAGAGTTTGTTTTCTTCTTCATTATCAAAAAAAAAGTGTTCAGGAGAACTACCCAACAGAAAGGGGAGCTCGACCGGACACAAGTCATCCTGGGTGATTTATTCCCACGGGCGGGGGCGGTAAGTCTCCTCAGCTTTGGCCTCCGCGTCCCCTACGGGTGCAGGCTGTGGTAGTGTGTAGAAAAGACCATGTGGTGCTACCAGTCAGAACCACATGACGGACCTCTGCGATTATCGTCCGTAGGAGGGCGAAGGAGGGAGGCGGACGAGCCAGTGCCTCTCCTGCCTCCTTCCTTCCCTGTTTATTCTTCCTTAAAACTAGTCACACTCAAAGTGATTTAGTTGACATGGCGTGGATTGTAGAGCTCACTCGCCGCCGTCAAAGTGTCCTGTGAGTTGTAGGAGGTGACGGTGCGTGGAAATGACCTTAACTACCTGGTAAAAGTTAGCTAGTATGGTTAGTAGACCCGGAATGGTTAGCTGAGACTATTGGTTCCGGAATAGTTTGAAATAGCAAGGAACTTTTTTTGTGTACTGTGAGCCCGGAATAGAAAAGTTATTAGAACCAGGGCATTGTATCTAATTAGAAACCCGGGTTAGTCAAATAGATCTAGTCAATTAGTGAGAATTTTGAAAGTTAGATTAAAAAAAAGTTATACGATTGACTCAAATGCAGGTTCATGCTTGAAACTCCTGTAGATAATTAGCCATTTGAGTAGAAATATTGGGATGAAGAACTTAGTGATTCATCTTTAACATACATAGAGTAGAATGAAGGTAAAGATATCTTAATGCCTCTTGTCAAAGAATGTGAAAATAGAGTAGTTTTAATGTCTGTAAACATTATATATATATATATATATATATATATATATATATATATATATATATATATATATATATATATATATATATATATGTATATGTATGTATGTATATGTATGTATATATATGTATGTATGGATATATACTAATATGAGTACAATTCTAAGTATATAGGTTTTATGTGTAGGGATTACTTATTGCATATAGGATCTCCATGTAGAGAGAACTAAGTATACTGGCTTTATATGTAGGGATTATGTAGGTCACAGGAACCCAGCTGTGAAAGACATATTTTCGTTGTACATGACAACAGACCGGGAAGGTTGGACGCCAAGGTTACGACACATTAACAACGCCATACGATGCAGGCGATATTGATCCTTGCGTCCCTTATAAAGAAGGACCATACTCGATCTCCATCAATATGTGTGACGTCAGCTGAGCGGTATTGGAAGGGGCCGGTCGACATCTGTACCGGGAAGTGAAGTTAATAGCACCGGGAAGGAGCTATTTTGGACTGGGATTTCCGTTATTTTTTAAGAAGGGAGAAGTTAGTCATGATCAAATAAACGCTATTTAAATGTAAAGATGAAAATAGATAGAGATAAAGATAGAGGTATTTACCAGTTTTCAAGAGCGGGAGAGAGGAAATTAAATAATAGATAGATAGAGTACGCCGCAATCAGCAGAGGTGCTCAGCGAGGGGAGAGAGAAAAGGATAACGTAGCGGGGAAATACAAGAATGAGCAGGGCGGGAAAGCCGAGGCAGATGGTCAGCCAAGTTGCGCCCGACAAGGAAATTACATTTCCTTAGCGGCCTGAGCGCCTCCACGGCGGGTTTTATATTTCCTGGTGCGATAACAGCGCCTCACTGCGGCCAGGATGAGAACTGCCCTCAGACACATGCACGCACGTGCACACACACGCACACACACACGCACACCACACACACACACACACACACACACACACACACACATCTTTCTCTATCTATCTATCTATCTCATTCTCTCATTTTTTATCTTTTCTGTCTGTCTCTTCTCTCTCTCTCTCTCTCTCTCTCTCTCTCTCTCTCTCTCTCTCTCTCTCTCTCTCTCTCTCTCTCTCTCTCTCTCTCTCTCTCTCTCTCTCTCTCTCTCTCTCTCTCTCTCTCTCTTTCTCCATCTATCTACCTATCTATCTATCTCAAACACCGATGTAAAAAACACAAAAGAAAAAAAGACAAAAAAACAAACGTCGAGCACCAAGGAACGTGTGATCTCCCCAAGGCAGCTTCTGGGCCGAAGACAGTCAGGAACACACAGCTGTGGAGGCATCAGGCTCTGCTCGAAGCTCCTCCGGCGGGATTGCAGCAGATGTAAAAAGGGAGTTATTCTGGTGATATCTTCCGTGCTGCGAGGAACCAGGGAAGAGGGAAGAGGGGAAATGGGAGAAGAGAGAGCGTATATGGAAAAGAGAAGGGGGAGAGAGGAGAGAGGGTAAGACAAATAGTAGAGGAGAGGGGACCGGACATACCCAAGGGACAAGCGGTACTAAACCCAAAGGGGAGAACGTTAGAAGGAGAGGGAGAGAGAGAGGATGGGAGGGGGGTAAAGAACGCAGGGAATAATAAGGTCTGACCAATAAGCGATGATGAAGGGGAGAGAGGAGGAAGGGTAGGGGGAGAGGGAAGGAGGGGAGAGAGGAGGGAAAGAGAAAAGGATGAGAGAGATAAAGAGAGATTAACTCACACAGAATGATGTATGTCTGTTAATTGTCCCGGATCTTGGAGCCCGCGCGAGGGTCTGGCCTTCCCAGGCTGTTGTTCTGTACGTTGAAATGTGTAATTACAAGGAGAATAGCCTATTTAGGGCAGCTAGGAGGTGTAGGAAGAGCAATACGCAGCTAAAGACTCACAGAATGACATTTAGAGATCAGAATGTGTGTTTTTTTTTTTTGTTTTTTTTTTTGCGGGTTTTTGCCTCAGTGAGCACCAGAAGCCTCTTTGGTTAAGATTCATGAACTGTTGAAATTTAGTGAACTTGTAAGATCTTTATATACATATAGATTGTAAGTTCAGATGGTCATCATTCAAAGATTCTGATTCTTGAATATTGATTACTTCCGCATGTCATTTGTTAGTGAAAAGATACTGATGAAAAAAAAAGATCATGACACAGATCGCTCATAATCACATAACACATTATGGTAATAATAAAGAATTAATCATACAAAATAAGAATGGCTCCTAAGTGGGGCGGAAGCGGGTAAAGGACTTAGCTAGCGTCAGTGCAGGTAGACAGAAAGAGAGGAAGGGGTAGGAAAATAAAGAATAGTGAGAGGGGAAAAGAGAGAAAAAATAAAGAAAAATGGGGATTGAAAAAAAAAGGGGGAGAGAGAAAAAAATAAATAAAAGCAGCAGCAGTTTCTGACACACTCCCCCTGAGGTGGGCGCCACTTCCACCCGAGACTAACCCCTTTACCCGCGACCACACTCAGGCTGTCTATAATGACGATGACGACGACGAAGGACCACAGGCAGATCCTAACCTGGAACAGGGGATGCCCGTCCCGAACCGCCTCATTCAGCAGTTCCCCGAGGACTTGGTGGGCACGCCTCTCGAGGACATCGACCCGTTCTACCACAACCAGAAGGTAAGGGACTTTTTGCAGTTCGTCTTTTTTTTTTTTTTTTTTTTTTTTTTTTTTTGATGTTGTTCCATCTTTTTTTTCAGGGATGTTTTTTTAAGGTTTGATTTGAGTGTGTGTGTGTGTGTGGATGATGTAGACATGTCGGTATTATTTACATATGTGTAAGGGATGGATCTATTTTAATTGGTTTAGCAAGATACTGTTGAATAATTATTATAATGAAAAAAAGTGTTGGTGTCGCATATTCTATCAAAACCAAATTAACTACTAAAGATCGTTTATCTTTATATAAAGCTTCTCATGGTGAACAGAACTGTCAATCTTATTATTTAACCTCAGTTCAGGCGCCTCCGGCACGATTTTAACAGTAATCGGTCAGGATAAGAAAAAAAAATGGCGGTGCGGCTGCCCTGAAAACGGCATCGTATTTAAACAGGCGTCGATGCCCCTTGGCACCATCGTCGGCACTCTAACCAAGGAGCTTATTTACCGGCTCCAAAGAACCAGTTGATTCCCAGTCCTCTAAACAAAAGCGATTTCCTATCTACTCCAAAGAACAAGTACTTGATATCCCCTTCTCAAAAAAAAAAAAAAACAAACAAAAACACAAAAGGGGTTACTCAGCAACTCCAAAGAATAAGGTGTTGCTCCTCCTCGAACATTCGATAGGAGGCTCGAGTGCCATCCGCCGAGGGCCACGAGACGTGAAGAGTGACGAGAGTGGGGATCGAGAGGTCCATTTCCTCGGCCCCTTTTCCTCGCGCGGGCGTCCTTATCGCGCGCCGCCCGCACCTTATCGCTGATTGGTCGAGAGGTTCTTGGGTCTGGAGTGACGATGGGCGGGATGGGCGGAGTGGGGGTGGGGGGGGGGAGGGATAAGAAGGGACATGTTTATCTTATGATTGGTCGAGGGAGCAAGAGGGTTCATAACGGGTCTAAGGAGCTGGATGAGCCGCTGCGGTCAGCTGTTTCCTCAGTCGCGGCCGAAGGTGACTCGACCCGATATGTCCGCTTCTTCTCTGATTAACATAGAGGCGATTTTCGTGTCTGTCTCAAGGAAGGCTTTCTGATAACATTGACAGATACTGCATCTTATCGTACGCAGGCACCCTGTTCGGGGAATGCAATGTTGCCAGATGTATTTGTAATGTATCTCTCTCACTCAAGAACCTGCTCGTGCACCGTTGCCAGATGAAGCAAAAAATGGAACCTCAGCCGGTGTGTGATAGCGTGTGGATGACTGTTACCAAACCTTAGTGAAGAAGCTCCCATTTTTTTTACATTTATACATTTAATTTCATGTCATTGTACCTGAGATCACATAATCAAACCACCGATTTTTGGGAATGTTTGAACACACAGTACTACGGGGTTATATAAGATATATACATACACACACAGACACACATATACACGCATATATATAGGTGTGTGCGTGTGTTTGTCCATATGTACGTGTGTGCTATTAGTGAGAGATAAATATATCGCCTTTGCTTATTTACCGCATTTGTTTATTTCTTACATAAGACAATCGACCGCCCCCGCCCTTCCCCCCCCTCCTTCCCTCCCCCCTCCCCTCCTCCCTCTTCCCTCACCTCCCCCCCATCCTTCACTCACCCCCCCCTCTTCCTCCTCCCTCTTCCTTCTCCTTCCTCTTTCTGACCCCCCACCCCACCCCACACCCCCCCTCCTATCCTTGGCCGAAGCAATTATTCATAATTGATATGTTTCGATGGTCATATCCCTATTTTCAGCTCGTATTGTGGTCCTATTGTTCTCTTAGTGTGCGGGAGGATAATAGGAGAGAGGGAGTGAGTGAGTGAGAGAAGGGGAGAGAGAGAGAGAGAGAGAGAGAGAGAGAGAGAGAGAGAGAGAGAGAGAGAGAGAGAGAGAGAGGAGAGAGAGAGAGAGAGAGGAGAGAGAGAGAGAGAGAGAAGGGGATGAAGAGAGGGAGAGAGGAAAAAGGGACAAAAGAGAGAAAAAGGTACGAACAGTCCGAAAAGAAGTAAGAAAGAATAAAGATTATAATTTTCTCCTCTCCTTCTCTCTCTCTCTCTCCCCTCTCTTTCTCCTCTTCTCCCTCTCTCCTCCCTCTCCCTCTCTCCTCTCTCTCTCTCGTCTCTCTCATCTCCTCTCTCTCTCCCTCTCTCCCTCTCCCTCTCCCTCTCTCTCTCTCTCCTCTCTCTCTCTCCCTCCTCTCTCCCTCCCTCTTTCCTCCTCCCTCTCTCTCCCTCCCTCCCCTCCCTCCTCTCCTCTCTCTCTCTGCTCCCTCTCTCTCTACCTCCCTTCCCTCTCTCTCTATCTCCCCTCTCCCTCTTCCCTCCTCTCTCCTCTCTCTCTCCCCCTCTCTCTCCCCTCCTCTTCCCTCTCTCCCTCTCTCTTCTCCTCTCCCTCCCTCTCTCTACTCTTCCTCACCTCTCCTCACCTCCCACCTCCATGGCGGCATAAGAGACGCCGGAAAAGGGAGTTTGAGTAGATAATTTCCAAACTCGGGACACCGGCTATTAGTGACGAACAGAGGCGAATCGAGCGCGTCGGCCGGGCGAGGGGACGAGAGGAGGAGGGGGGACGTGAGGGAGGGAAGGGACGTGAGGGGAGGAGGGGAGGAGGGAAGGATGGGGGACGTGAGGGGAGGAAGGGCGTGAGGAGAGGGGACGAGAGGGGAAGAGGGGGACGAGAAGGGAGGAAGGGGGGACGAGAGGGAGGAGGGGGGACGGAAGGGGAGGAGGGGGAGAGAGGGAGGAGGGGGGAGGAAGGGGAGGAGGGGGGAACGAGAGGGGAGAGGGGGGAGTGAGGGAGGGGGGGGATGGAGGGGGGAGGAAGAGGGAAGGAGGGGGGAGAGGGAAGGAGGGGGAGGAGAGGAGAAGAGGAGGAGAGGAGGAGATGAAGAGGGGGGAGATGAGAGGGAAAGGAGGAGAGGACGAGAGGGAAGGAAGGGGGGAGAGAGGAGATGAGAGGGAAAGAGAGGGAGGAAGGGGACGTGAGGGGGAAGGGGGACGTGAGGGGAGGAGGGGTGAGGAAGGGAAGAGAGGGAGGGAGGGGGACGTGAGGGGAGGAGGGGGAGGAGAGGAGATGAGAGGGAAAGAGAGGAGACAAGAGGGAAAGAGTGGGGACGAGAGGGAAAGAGAGGAGACGAGAGGGAAAGAGAGGGAAAGTAAGGGAGGAGAGAGGACGAGAGGGGAGGGAAGGAGACGAGGGAAAGAGTAGAGACGAGAGGGAAAGAGAAGAGACGAGAGGGAAAAAGAGGAGACGAATAGGGAAGAGAGGAGACGAAAGAGAGGAGACGAGAGGGGAGGAGAGAGGACGAGAGGCCAGGGGGATAGGAGGAGAGGGGAGGAAAGAGAAGGCCGGCGAGCGATGCTGGCGAGGAGACGCTGTATCGGAGGTTGGAAGGGGAGGGAGGGGGTCGGGGGAAGAGGCTTTAGGAAAAAGGGAAATGCAGAAAGAAGAAGTGAAGGGAGAAGGGGAAGAGAAGTGCTTGGAGGGGAAAGGAAGAATAGCAACACAAGGGAAGTGGGAGTGAAAGGTGATACGAGGGTGGCCAGGGGGAGGGGGGGATGAGGGGAGGGGCGGGATGGGAATGAGGGGAAGGGGCGCTGGGATGGGGAGAGGGATGTCCGGGGGGAAGGGAAGGAGGGAAGAACAGGTCGACGTTTCCCTGTTTAAAAGGACAAGTCACTTCCAGGTGATGGCAACTGGCAGGGGGCTCTGTCTCAGGTGGGGATGGGGAGGGGAGGAGGGGGAGGGGGATGGAAGTGGGAGAAGGGAGGGAAAAGGAGGAAAAGAAGGGCAGGGAGAGAGGGAGGAAGGGGAGAAAGGAGGAAAGAGAAGGACAGGGAGGGAGGGAAGGGAGGGAAGGAAGGGGGAAGGGGAGAAAGGAGGTAGAAGGAGGTGAGAGGCGAAGGAGGGGGGAGGGAAGACCAGAATCAGGGGGAGAAAATAGAGAAAATTAGAAAAAACAGAAAGAAATAGAGAACAGAAGGAGAGAGGGACGTGGAAGAAGAAGAGGGACGGAGAAGGAGAGAGAGAAAAAAGACTGAAGAAGGGAAGGAAAGGGAATGAGAGCTGAATAAAAGGGTGGAATAAGAGAAGGAAAGAAGGAAAGAGGAAGGGTAAAGGGAAGAAGTAAAGAGAATTGGGGGAATGGAGGGAGAAGGGAGGGAGGAGGGATAAAGGGTAGTAAAAGAGAGGATAATAAAGAGAGAAGAAGGAAGCCAAGAACGGTGGGAAGATATAAGAGCTGGAAGAACGGAGGGAGAATAGAGAGAGAGTTGAAGGAAGGGGAGAAGAAGGAGAGAGAGGCAAGGAAGAGAGTAAGAACCGAATAGAGAAGAGGAAGGGAAGGAAAAGGTAAGGAGAGTTAGAGAAAGAGAGAGAGAAGAGCGGAAAGAACGTTGAAAGGAGGGAGGAAGGTGCAAAGAAAGAGGAGGAAGAGAAGGAAGAAGAAAGGAAGAGTGAAGAAAGGGGAGGAAGGGAAGGGGAAGAGGAGAAGGGGTTAAAGGGAATGGTGTGCGGAGAGATGGGGGGAAGAGGGGGGGGAGGGGGAGTGGTCGTGATGACGTCACTCATTCAACGCGCGAGAGATGCTTGATGCTTTCCCGACGAATGAATCGATCTCCTCCTCTCTTTCGCTCTCTGTCTCTCTCTCTTTATCTCTCTCTCTCTCTCTCTCTCTCTCTCTCTCTCTCTCTCTCTCTCTCTCTCTCTCTCTCTCTCTCTCTCTCTCTCTCTCCTCTCTCTCTCTCTCTCTCTTTCAGTTTCTCTCCTCTCTTTATCTCTATCTTCCACTCTCTTTCTCTTCCAGGTCTCTTCTCCCCTCTTGATCCTCTCTCTCTCTCTCTCTCTCTCTCCTCTCTCTCTCTTTCAGGTTCTGCTTCTCTTTATCTCTCTTTTTTTCCCATCTCTCTCTCTTCCAGGCTCTATCCCCTCTTTATCTCTCTGTCTCTCTCTCTCTCTCTCTCTCTCTCTCTCTCTCTCTCCTCTCTCTCTCTCTCTCTCTCTCT